AAACGAGCAAACAGAACCCCTGTGACCTGACATCATGGAAAAAATAAAAAAAGACACTAGGATGAAAAAATAAATAGTGTCATGGTTTACATGTGGGATTTGGATGGAATCTAGGGCTGTGTTTTCAGTCAAAACTCACCATCTCAAAACCACTTCTTTTCATCCGCCTGCAGGACTTGAGGTAAGTACGGATGCGCTTTCTGGCACGCTCTTGGTACTCAGGGAATTGTCGCCTGCATGAGTCAATGATAGCCTGGATCTTTTCTTTGGGCTGCTTAGAGATTGGGACCATTCGGTCCAAGTTTTCATCTACAAACAGCCTGACAAACATCTGTTGGCAAGAGGGAGACAGAGGAGAAGGGTTTGGAGGGCTGCTCTCGGCTGTTCCTTGCTTCCTGTCTTGATCACGGATAGGAAAAATACTCTTGTTTTTTGGTGTATTCACTGGAGAACTTTGCAATGGAAAGCCAGAGATTTTAAGCAAACACCCTTTAAAGACTTTCTCAATGGTTGGATAAAGAGAGAGAGAAAAAGAGAGAGAGAGAGAAAGGCAGACAGACACAGACAGACAGAAAAGTATAGACTATCGTGTAGAAAAAAAACACAGGAGGCAACAGTAGACTGCGACAATGAAGCACCCCATCAAATTCTCTGTTCGAGAGAAATGCAATTCGGCCGGCACTTTGCTACTCTGCACAGTGCACTGGTCTCTGCACACAGACCACGGACTCTTTGTCATGCATCATTAACAAGCTGGGAAGCAGAAGAGCGAGCTGGTGGCGGGCTGTGGACTCTTCACCCACCGGGTCGACATGATACTCACACAACACGCCCGTGTCCGGCCACACGGGCCTTCACATCCTAAGCAAAACACAGCCATTCTGGTGTCTGGTTGGCAAAGAGTATTTCATGTACTTTTAATAAATGCCTCTGCAAATTAAAAAAACACGTCTCTAAAGTATCCACATTTACCAGCAGGCGACATGAGAGTGCAGGGTGAGCGGTGAGCCACCGGGGAGGTGGGGGACTCACGTTGAAAGCCTTCAGCCGCTCGGCCTCCACGCCGTCCGTCTCGGCCACCTTCTCGGCGTCGTCGTGGTCCTCGTGGTCCTCATCATCCTCGTCCCCCCGGTGCAGGGACAGGTCCTCGGCCCCTCGCTCTCCGCCCTCGTGTTTGCTGGAGTCGTAGCTGGAGTAGCTGTGTGCAGGGGACTGAAGAGAGAGGAGAGGAGGAGATGGCCGGTTTACATGCACTGCCCAAACTTAGACACAGTGTTTTATTTCTGAATTTGAGCTGTTTCTCAAAGAAAGTCTTGCTGAAATGAGTTGATAATTTCTAGAGCTGTGGCTATGCTAATTTAAATGAAAATTAATTAAAATGTCATTAAAATGCATATCCTCAGTCACAACAGTCACATTTCAAGTGCTCAAGAGGCCCATGGGATATTCCCATCATGGCACAAAGTTTGATTGGATTTAGCTTTTTGAGAGCAATTGCTGTTTCCACTCAATGTCCCTGTTCCAAAGAAAAACCAATCTGTAATCAATTTTGCAAGAGAACCATTGAATCACATGTTCTTCGCGATGGAAATGACCTCAGAGC